CATTTTGGCAAATTATAAGAACATTCTATCTGAGGAAATATAAAGTGTTAAACAAACAAATAATTAGTTGCCTTTGTCCTCGCTTGCGATCCAAGTTTTAAATGAACACTTTAACCTAGGATGATCAAGCGCTGACTTGACATTTTAAAACATTTTCAATGAATTTTTATCTTTTGTTTTATTATCTTTCTAACAGAGATCCACGAATTGAGTATCAGTAACTTTTGTTTTGTTTTTCATTTTTGAAACAGCGATCCACGAATTTACGTATCCCACAAAATGTCTTTTTTTCTCTATCCGCGAAAATTGATACCACGAAAATAAATGAATGAAAAGTATTATTGTTAGGTCCAGTTTGGCTAAATAAATATATTTGTCCTTGTATTAATATATCTATGACGTACCCCACTTTTTGCTTTTTTGCTTTCCCAATAAAAAGAATTCATAAATGTACATAAAAAGCAGCAAATCGTTACGTTTTATATTGATTGGTGATTCCCTTTCAATATTATGCTTGATGATTCTTGATGACTCATTTGGTTGACATTGGCATTCCTAAGTATTTAGGATGATGATCTAAATCGAAAAAGGACCTCAAGTAGCGTACGCAAAAATCTACCATTTGACATGGCACATTCAATTGCTACCAGTCGCTTAGAAAACTTAACGATTCTTTGTACAAACTAAATGGTACATTTGGTTGATTGCCCTAAACTGCCGTCATTGATGGACATCATTATCATCAAAATTTGGAAATTAACTCAAAATAATTTACGAAAATATTAAAAGTCGTGGAAAGGGTAAATTCCTTCAGAATCTACATGGTTATATATACTAAACTACATTATGTACAATATGTATGTATGGTTCCTACTGAAGATATTATCTTTCTCTTTTGGTTATGATATTCTAATTTGTTAAGTATATACTTCGCTTAAATCTGTTTTTTGTTAGCTATGGGCAGTAAACTATATATGATGTAATGAGACAGCAACCAAACGACCAAAATTAGTTATATTTTCCCATGCATTCAAACATTAACAATGTCTCATTTTCCATTTATAATGTCTTTGATTTGTCACCCTACGAAAAAAATTACCATGTGTTCAATAATTGTACATATTTTTAAGGGACTCATGGTAATGACCTTGTTTATTGTTTCTTTTCCCGTTTATATAAAAATATGATCATCACTTCAAAATGAACACGTGGTCGCCTGTGCGTCTTGTTTGAACGTTGTTGTGCATGTGTCAAATAATCCATTTGTTGTAGTCACTATACTGGTCCCTTTTTCTAGTCATAAATTTAATGCGAATACATCTTAAAGATGACAGAAGAGTGGCTACGACAATTGGGCCAGATCCGTTGTCATCTTAGACACAGATATTCCATAACGGCCAACCAACTCATGATGGCGTCCATAAATCTTGCGACTGATGACGTCAATTTTGCTTCTTGAAACTGTTGATTCAAAAGCTTTCTTGTAAATAGCACCCCACTATCATAGAGGCGTGATATGACACGTAAGCTCTCCAATGCATTTATTTCCTTATTTTCCACTGATAAGGTGTTATTGTATTGTCACACAACGAACGAGATTTATCATGTATGCTTATTCCAAAAATTCTTCTCGAGTTTGTTTCCATTTGTCATCACTTGAAAACATTCGTGGTCGCCTGCGTGTCATGTTTAAACGTTATGATAACATGTGTGTGTCACAGAAACCATTTGTTGTAGTCACAATCCTGGTCCCTCTTTTGAGTCATAACTTCTCATCGAATACAACTTATCACAGCATTTTGAAATAGCGGAACAGAAAATATATATCGCCTGTAGCACCCTAATTTTTGGTAATGCGTGTGTTGTTCAATCATTAATTTTCTCTGTGATATCTGATTTGTAGAGAATTGTTATGTTGTTTGCTTGCCATTATAAACTAATTTCAAAATAATAAACACATGTTCGTTTTCATATTTTCTACCCTTTATACAAGTATTCCCCATTCCAACTAAAAGACAAATTTAAAGTATTGGTCCTGCTTTGTTTCATAAAAAAGAATGACCAACGTAGATACAAGTATCTTGCCCCAGGGAGGGATACATCGTACTTTGCCAAAAAATCACTCTGATGCAAACAAAAATTCTCTGAAACTGACATTATCAAGGTGCTTGATTTCTTGATTGACAACATATTTGTTACATTTGGAGGACGTGTTTTTCAACAAACCATAGGCATTCCCATGGGAACCAACTGTGCTCCTCTTCTTGCCGCCTTGTTTCTTTATTCATATGAGGATGACATCATACAGGAGCTTCTTATGAAGAATGAAAACAAGCAGGCATTATCCTTTAACTTTACATTCCGCTACATAGATGATGTCCTCTCACTAGATACTAGTATTTCAAAGTTTGGTGACTTTGTTGAACGCATCTATCCCATCGAACTTGAAATAAAGGATACAACAGATACAGTTAAGTCTGCCACATATCTTGACTTGCATCTAGAAATTGACAATGAGGGTCCGTTGAGAACAAAACTTTTCAACAAAAAAGATGATTTCAGCTTCCCAGTTGTGAACTTTCCATTTATATGTAGCAACATTCCAGTAGCGCCTGTATATGGAGTATACATCTCCCAGTTGATACGATATTCCAAAATTTGCATTTCCTCTCATGATTTCCTTGATAGAGGATGGCTGCTTTAAAGGAAGCTATTGAACCAAGAGATTCAATAGGTGAGGTTGAAAGCATCCTGCGACAATTTTACGGACGCCATCACGAGTTGGTTGACAGTTATGGAATATTTGTTTCATAGATGATAACGGACAATGAGCCAATTGTTGTAACCACAATTTCGTTCCCTTTTCCTCGAATGTGGTCTACCTAATTATACTTATCACCTGGTTTTTACTTGCACGAGCAAGACGACGGGTGCCACATGTGGCGCAGGATCTGTTTACTCTTCCGGAGCACCTGAGATCACCCCGGTTTTTTGGTGGGGATCGTGTTGCTCAGTATTTGGTTTTCTATGTTGTGTTTGTGTACTGTTGTTTGTTTTGTCGTCGTTTTTCGTTTTTTGCCATGGCATTGTCAGTTTGTTTTCGACTTATGAGTTTGAATTTTCCTATGTATCTTTCGGCTCTCTTTGTAAGTTAAGTCTCTTATTAAAGCATGTCAGTGTTATATCTCAGGACACAATGCTAATTACAATGAACTTTTGTCGAGGGGAAATTTAGGACAAATAGTGCTACTGAACTAATAAGATTTTTTTCTATTGACACTGGAGAAAATTTCACATTGTAAAATATTTCAAATTTATTAAAAGAGGTTGAATTTGTTTCACTCTCAGGATTTTGGTAAGCAGTGTATATGTATTACATTTTTTAAAAACCAATTAAAATTGCCAGCTTTCTATATAATAATAAGGAGAGGTTATATCATTTTCAAAGAGTCAAGTATCCACAATAGACAAATAGAAGTGGATGTAAGCAACTATGAGTCACCGTGCAGCCTTGAACAATGATCAAAACTCTTATGCTATAAAAAGCCCCTACATGATGAAATTTGAAACAATTCAACTCAGAAAACCAACGATCTGATTTATACTAAAACAAACTTAACGGGGAAAATGGTAGAAAACAATCAACGACAACCACTTAATTACAGGAAAAAAAGAATGTGGCGGTTAAATATGTTTGTCGACCCTCCCTCTTATCATAATATCTTTACTATCACCATTCGCATCGATGGTATGATGGAAACGTGTAGCCTCGAGAGAATGATATTGTTGGTTCAATTACCTGCCGGGTCAAACAAAGGCCTTAAAAATTGGTATTTGTAGCTAATAACTCGGCATTTAGGTCTTAGAACAAAGACTGGATCCCACCCTGAATCAGAATATTGTGCGCGGGAATAGAGTCATATTTTCTTACGGAATGTTACCTTTTGAACTTGAACGTTAAAATCTGGCTAAGCATGTCTGTCTAGAATAAGCAGGGTTCATATTCCAATAACATTAACATGTGTTTGTCCTGATATATGCATGTTATATTTGCCACTGAAAATTATTTAACACCAATAAGAATCTTTTAATTTCACAATCCATAGGAGTTCATTACCTTGTTGCGGTGGTGTTCTCATTAGTAGTATTTTTGCGTATAATATAATGGGATATTGCCCTTTGATGTACGATAGTATAAGATATCTTGTAGTGAAATATCTGATTTTAAAAGGCTTTTTTGTAACAAAGTTATAAGGAATAAGGACTTTAATCCACACTGCATAACCTTTACGGTCTCCATCGCGAATTGGATCGCCTATACGATATGCATATGTCACAATTCACTAGCGATATGTTGATGCTGTCCTAGATCTTAAGATACCAGAAGAGTCATCGAATCTGTTATTGTACCGATTGTGACATTTTGACAGAGTGTGAATTTGCATGGCGGGTGATGCATAGCAGGAGACGATTATCCTGTTGAAACACCCGGTCTCGCTCCTTTTACTTTTCCCTCAGTTTTTGGTGTTACCTTGATTTGTCTTCTTAATCAATTTATGGGATATCAACACCGGTAACTACCGTAGTCTTAATTTGGCTTATATCTCAATCGCAAAAACAGGAACTGTATAGGGGCTTATTTTTGCCGCTTTACATTAAATACAAGACGTTCGAAACCCTAATGCAAATAAATTAAGACGCTATTAAAAATATAAATACTGATATCTGACAGACTAATATCGTCTGTACAAATGATTGATAATATTTAAAATTAATGGATTCATAGAACTGGTTGATTTTTTATTTCAAGGGACCAAAACAGTGGCCTTATCATACCTTATCCTATATTATAATGGGATGAAGATTTTTTTTAGATTAGCTTGGAAAAGAGCTTGGATCCTCAAATATTTAATGTATGTCACTTAAGTTTGCAATACCTTAATTATCAACAGTTAACTGGAAGAAAACATTGATTGTACACTGGAATTCAATACTTCAAATGTTTAATTTTATTATCACAATGTAAAGTCAAAATTCACTACAAATATGAGTTCACCGTAATTTTATCCTCATTCATAAGAACCCACAAGTTACCTCTTCCGTCAATGGTCAGAGACTTTGGTCCATCAATTTCTTCTTTTGAGGTCAGTATGTCACGAACATAATGACCGTCTGATGTAAAAAGCGCTACGCTATTATTTTTCTTATCAGCCACAAACACGTTTTCATGACGATCTTCGCACATTGCTACAAAATCGGAGTTTTCATTTCTATGCAAATGTTTTAGGTCCCCAGTTAAAGAAATTGTATATATCTCTTTAGAATATGCAATAAGAAAGACTTTTGCCTTACTAAATAGAACAAAATTTGCCCGATAACTACTCCCTTTTTTAGAAATGTCCGCACTAATAAAAGTTCGGATTGTTTTACCAGTTTCATTGACTTCAAAAAATCTGCTGTCGCAAATAATAAACATATTGCCATTATCCATAAAGCATGCAATTCTATTTTGGCAATGATCGGCTACATCATTTTCCCACGGATTTATTGGCGCGCCAATAATATCTCCATTTTCCATTGGTACTGATTTGATGTTATTGTCACACCAAACGAAGAGACCTTTGGTATTCATTCCAATTATTGTAAATCTGGTTCCCTCTGCATGTAATGTGTTTGATTCCTCTTTCTGTTGTCCATTTAGATCAAATTTGATAACTCTGGCATTATAGTAAGGGCCGCCATTTTGAATCAGACGACGGATATACTTCAGATGAGTAACATACACATGCGAATCGCCTATAGACATAATACTTCTCATGTCAGATTCACTTTGAAAGTTCGTCACTTTTGTCATTTTCAAGATGTTTCCAAAGACGGGGATTTGGAAGGATGGCAATTGTGTTTTTGTTAAGACTTTTGTGCTTTTTTCTCGCTTAATTTTCCCAAAAAAATCTTTCATTTGGTGATGGGAAAACGTGCCCGCATGAAATTTTGGAATACTTAGCTTCATCTCAAACTGAAAAAGATGTTCATCGTACATGATTGACTGTCGTCCTAGAGCACCACTATATCCAACTATTTTGGATGCGACGCCACATCTGATAGTTCCCTCGATTGTCTTTAGTAATTTAATCATAGCAATACGATTCAGTTCAGAGTCTTCTATGAATGTTTGAATAATTTTCTTATCTGCTTTGGAAAAAGATTCTAAGTCGTATATGCTCTCCGACAACATCATATCAATTGACTTGCACATCATATCTTTCAAGTTTGAAGCCACACTCTTCAGTTCAGTTTTTGTTTGTTTAATATGTGTACAGTATTTCTTTTCTTCCTCCTTTGCATTTTGTATTATATTGTCCATAAAAGGTATTTTTGATTGAAGATTTATAACTAGCATGTCCAAAGATGAGATCATGTTTTTGACAGTATACTCTAAATCTTTAATTTTGTGACAAGCATGTTTGGATTGTGTGCATTCATCACAAATAGGCAAATTGCATGACTTACAGTAAATTGAAAATTCCTTCCCGTGTTCACTGCATTGTTCGTTGTCCTGTGTCCCTGTATACTGTTCGACAGGTATTTCTGGGTTCATTTTCTCAATTAATTTATGTTTTCGGAAAGTGTTATTTCTCAAATGGTATTCATGGCAAATCCTGCACATGTTCTGATCGCAATCAACACATTTGGAGTGAACTACGATTTCGTCACACATTTCACAAGTTATTTCACAATCAGATGTTTTTTCTTCATTACATATTTCCATGAATGGACACAATGGAAATTTTTCAATGCCTTCTATTGGAACAGGCAGGTCTTTCCTACAAAGCGGACATCGGAATGTTTGAGTATTTTCTATCAGCTTTTCCAAACAAGGTGTACAAAATACATGAAAACAGTTCAGAATTCTTGGAGATGTATATGCAGACTTACATATTCCACAAAAATTCTCGGCCTCCACAGATTGCCTAGACGCCATGACACTTGTTGATCAATTATACGTGTGCAAGAGCTAGTCACGTGATAATCGCAAATAGATTTAAATAGCTTATGTCTTTATCATATCTGATTTCAAGGTTACCTGATTGAAGATCATTATGTTTATGGGTGGGCATGTTTAAACTGTGCAAATAACTATTTCTAAAAATGTTTCATTCGTAGAATCCGTAAAAATGTTAAACAAAAGAATTTTATGTTTATATCATTCTGAAATAAGTTCAATGATATAACTCTAATATAGATAGAACATGTAAGGGTTCAAATTACGGTGTATTCATATATGTTTGTCAAAGCAGACGATCTTTTTACAGACATTCTCATGTTTAGCCTATCATTTTCGCCGTGTTTAGAAATGCTTGTACTGTACCAAGTCAGGAATATGGCATTTGGTTGGTTGGTTTGTTGGTTGGTTTTGTCGAGCGTTTGGTTTTGTTATGTTTTAGGGACTTTCCTTATTTTGAATTTACTTTGGAGTTAGGTATTTTTATCAACACATTTTTTCTCCCATCACACATGACACTAAGCAGATAGGATCAGTTAAAATATGCTCTCTAAGTATTTGCCACAAGCTCTTTCTGTTGATGCTGTCAAAAGCTTTCTGGAAATCCACAAAGTTGATGTAAAGCTGCCTTTGCCATTCTGTATGTTCGATGATGTTACGTAAAGCAAATATTTGATCAATGCATCCTCTACCTTTACGAAATCCTGCTTGCTCCTCTCTTAGTTGTTTATCATTTGCATCAATTATTCTTTGGATAATAAATTTGGCCATGATTTTACATGAAATTGACAAGAAGGTAATACCTCGCCAGTTGTTGCAGTCACTAAGAGATCCCTTCTTGACTAACTTTATCAATTCACCTTTGGTCAAATAGTCAGGTATGATTTTCTTTTCCCATATTGATGTAAATAGTAATTGAAGAATTTCAGTTGCAAGTTCTGGGTCAGCTTTGAAAAGTTCTGCACTAAGATTATCCTGCCATGGTGATTTTCTATTTTTTAATGATTTTTTTGCTGTTATTATTTCCTGCCTGTTTGGTAAGTAAATGTTTATTTCTAAATCTTGAACTTCTTCAATTATTATTGCTTCGTCATCTGGGGGTGGTCTGTTCAGTACTTCTTTGAAGTGTTCGGCCCATCTGTCTTTTTGCTCGTCTTCTGTTGTCAATAGCCTTCCATTTTTGTCTTTTATAGGGACATCGTTAGCGCTACGAAATGTGCCACAGATTGGTCTTTAATTTTATAAATTTTTCCCTGTTCGCCCTTTACTGCTGCTTCTTTTGCTTGTCTAGCAAGCTCTTCTGTGGTGGAATTTAAATTATTATGAAAGCACCGTACATGTTTGACTGTCTGCATAGATCACTATTGTATTTGACTATTTTAGATGGGATAACAGATTTAATTTAGATCTCTCTAATTTCTGCATTGTTCATGGCAACACGATCAACTTCAGCTTCTTCCATGATATATAAATTTGAACTCCTATCTGAGCTGGGAGAATATTCATAGCTGTTTAGCTGTTTACAGTGTCCAACAATATCATACCATTCGACTCTTTCATGTTCGAAGCCACACTCTACAGTTCAGTTTTTGTTTGTCTAATGTATGGGAAGTATCTCTTTTCTTCTTCTTTTGCATTTTTGTATTATCTAGAACATAAAGGGTGTTTTATTTATATTAGACTTATATATCTGGTGTAAAGTTGAGATCATGTTTCTGAAAGTTTAATCTAAATGACAGGTTGTGTGGCCAGTATGTTTTCATTTTTGCCACACTTCGCACAAAGGCAAATTGCATAACTTACAGTAAATAAAAGGACTTCATGTGCTCGTTACATTTTACTGTAAATTATGTGTTCACCTTTTCATTTAATTTGTGTGTTCCTATTGTTTTATTTCTTAAATGGTACTCATGCCAACTTCTGCACATGTTCTAATTGCAATATAATCACATGGAGTGAATTTATTTTCATCGCACATCGCATATTTCACCTACGGCTTTGTTTTCATCAGCAAAATTGAGAATGGAAATGGAAGTGTCTATTTCAGAAAATGAAAACAACGGAACACTACCGTTTGAACTGATAGGTCTCTCCCATAAAATGGACAATGGAATGTTAGGTTTTATTCAAGTGTTTTTTTTTTCAAATGTTTCAGGATCAAAATACATGAAAACATTCCAAAAATATTACTAAGATATATTTGCACTTGAATGTTCCGCAAACATTCGCCTGAGTCTTCTACAAGTTTTTTTCCCTATCTACACTAGATTCGCAATACTAAAGTAATCGTACATAAGAAGTAGTCAAGTGATATTTTGTATGCATACCACAATTAACAAAATATGGTATATACTCTCAACCAAAGACCAAATGACGTAGATTTTTACATACAATATTTTAAAAGACGTGCTGACAATACTTGTTATCAGCCCATCGTCTTCTTATTTCCCTCTGTAAAAAGCTACTAGATCATGTAATTGGCACAACAAAATTTTCACAAACATTTTTTTTCATTTTATCATTTAAAAAAAATTGCGATGTTCTTGCACTCAACACAGATGGCTGTTGTTACTTTATATAGAACAAATTTGTTCACAATCGATAAAACCTTCATGAAACATGTACATTCATGTAAAGAGCATATTAAAGCCGCAACATTACGAAAATAATAGATTTGAGATCCTTTTGAAGAATTTTGTCTGATGACGTAAAGTTCAACGCAAATTGTCACGGCTGTTGATTAAATTAAATCTAAATTGGTGTATATCAAAACTTATTGATAGGACTGCTACAAATAAAACATTGCTTAAATATCATGCTCTTATATGATAATTACAAACAGAATAGAATAACTTCAATCAAAACCTCTGAAAACAAAAAGATTTTCAAAAAAATCTTATTCTTAGAAGACCCTGTTTCGAGTAAACTTTGCCTAACCCGTTACAAAATCATTGGTGTTTGATGAATTATAAAGTAAATCTAAAAAATCATTGACGGTATATAGTTCTACCGTTCTTTACGAAAAATGTTATAAGTGATATTCTTTAATACAATTTGATGACCCAAACACTGTTTAGCATGCCCGCCATCAAAATAAGAAATGAATATAAAATTAATATGAAAATCTTTTAAAAAAATCAATTGAGAGCCACATTTTCCAGTGACAGGATCTTGTCCAGGCTGTTACTCTCTTTTTATTTAATCTTGACAGGCTTTTGGTATTCTTCATGTGGGTTGATCATGTAAAAACAATATGACCTTTTACATTTTGATGACATCATCGAACCTTGACTTCTAATGCAGGTTTTTTTTTTTATATATATTGCCTGTGACAACACCTTTTCAACGATCTAGATCAACGAAATGGATTATGCGACATGATTGCGTCTATGTAATTTTTCTTTGCGTTATCTGGTTATTACTGTTAGTTTTGATGTTATGACCTTGCTCTTTTAGTTATTACTACTGTTTCTCTTTTGCGGAAGGTTTTTGGGTGTAATGTTTCTGGTGTAGCACGTACCATGAGAAAAAATCTTTAAAAAATACTATATTGAATATAATAAAGACGCGATATGCCATAAGTAAACATTTTATAATAGTACTGATTGTCATACTTTTATTTGATATTTAGACATATCATATTGTTGAATAGTTTAAACCTTTGAAACTGTATTACTAGTATTTAGAATAAGTAGTAGGTTGTTGATTCTTCGCTTCACAAGGTCATACGAAAGACTTGGCAATTGGTATTTGCTGCTTCTTCGCCAGCTTAGATTGCGGTATTCAAGAGTAAGAGCATAACCTGGTGGGATCGGGGTCAGATTAGATTGGGTTATCTTTTTTGTTTTGTTTGAGATGCCATGGTGGCTCACGTGAATTTATATAAGGGAGAAGATTTCATCCCTTCTCGACTCTTCGTGTATTTCTTGTGGCGGTCAAAATTCCTTTCCTTTTCAGTCCCATCCATTCTTTTTAATTAACTGTCATGACATTTTCTATTCATATTATTTATTTGATATGCATTGCCTCATCTAGTGGTAGCCATGGCAGCCTTCTGTGCTAGTGGGTTGAAAAAATCAATTAAACAAATATCTCATTGATAACTGTCCATAAGTCGGACCCAATTGCATCAAACATCGGAACAACATCAAAAATATGGGAGTTTCAGACTCCATAAAAAAAATCAAACGCTGCATCATTAAGCAACCAATAGCGGATCCGGGATTTTCAAAATTGGGATGGGGCTTGGGGCATTCGACAAATAAGTGGAAGCCCGACGGGAGTCAGAAATTAAAAAATAATCGAAACACACAAACTTTCTACTAGTATTATAATTAAGGGAGAGTCCGGCAACCTCACACAATTCCTTTGGATCGACCCCTGTTTCTTGAATGATGTGCAACTCATTTTCCGTATATAATAAAATTGCATACACGCGATACCAAGCTAAAGAAAATTGCTCAATTGGTCTAATATTTACAAAATGTCGTTTTCTTATAAAAGCAAATGATTTACGACAAAGGTGCTATTTTTTTAATATCATTTTTTTATTTTATCCCAGATTCTTTTATAATCCAAAAAAAAAAACGGAAATATTAGCACTTAAAAATTGAAACATGAACATGGTCTGATTAAAATTTTGAATGCCCCCGCAGATATTTGAATACTAAGTACTTAATTCTCATCTTTATAATTGGGTGCCGATCCGGCATTTTCTGCAAAATAGATTTGACACCTGTGTTCAAAAGCTTTCAAGTCCCCCCCTTTTTTTATACGGCCATGGATTCTCCCCGGATTTCCAACTTATTCCTTTCTAAAACGTATGTTTTTGCTTTGCAATTGTGTGATTTTCCGCGCATTAGATAATTTAACACCTTTTCTGCTTATAATAGTGTAAGATAAATTGGATTTCAACTTATGTATTGTTACTTTTGTGTGGGGCATAATACTTTACTATTCCCTGATATTGACTTAGTAAACTATTCCCAGTTTTGTTGACTAATATATGATAAAGAAATAATTATTTGTTTTATTCGACATGTCGAGATGTTGTGTTGAGGGTATATCAATCCGACCAGCTGGCCATCTCAGTGAATTTTTATTTTTCAATGCCGGGCAAACACTTTCGCTCTCTGAATATTTTAACCTAATTATTACTCTTTACTTATTAATATACATGGTATACTGACTTTTTTTTAAAAAAACATAGCACAAAAATTGTATACAAATATATATTTAAGCGATATTAACTTCAGTTTTCCAACAGAAGTTTCAATATTTTTTATAAATGTATATTTATTTATTTATCTATTTTTTTTTTTTTTTTTTGAGGGGGAAATTCAAATAGTTGCAATTGTTTAAAATTTTATATTATATTCTCCACTTTTAGCCCAGCCAGAGAAATATAAATACAATTGTAATACAAAAGTATATGTCTCTGGTCCGCCGCTATTTATTTTCTCGGACATAATATATATTATAATAGTCCCAGTTATTTTGAACAATTAAGTTGGAACAATCCATATTTTCCCATCAATTTTAATATAAAGATTAATGATCAATACTTTCTGTATTAGCTAACATGTCAACGCAAAACAACTATTTACACAATGAAAATAAATTCTTATTAAACTTGTTAAAGATTATGAGTCCTTTTAAACATTGAAAGGGCTTTAATCATTGTGCGGTTGTGTCACTTGATCAGCTGATTGATTGATTGTGGGATAAAACGGCTTAGTGATAATGAAGTGAAATTAGCCAATGAAAACAATCGAAAGCGAGTCATTGACAACGTGAGGCTTGACAACAACGCGGGAAAAGATGTCGGATACAGCGAAAGGTTTGTAAATACACATTTTAATGTTAAACTATTCTAAAATTCAACAATAAGATATCGGTTTTAAATGAAAGCTTTTCTTTATTTTTAGAAGAACGGCGAATAGAAACCTTGGCAAAGCCAAAACGTGTACCAAGTGAATTTCAAGATGACAGGTAAGATGTAAACACGCAAAAAAGGGGGAAGTAAGCCACGTGTTTGTTGACAGTCTCAACCGACAATGTTAACCTCGATCAAAAGATAATTGCAGAAACTGTCTGTTTTCGTAATATTGAACACAGATTCGAAAGTCTGAGTTTGCAGACAAGATTGAAAGGGGGAGTTGAGCATACAGACTTGAAGGGAAGCCATTAATTGTTAGGGGACGACCATTTGATATTCCGGGGGGGCCAGGAGGATTTTGAAAATAAATAACTCAGCCTTGATAATAACAAAAATGAATGGTTTGTTCTGTGGTAGTTTGAAAATAAATAACCTGACTTACAATGTATTGAAAATAACTTGGCAGGTCTTTTAAGCCATTTTATAAATGCTATTCTGAAGTATAAGATGGCACCAGATTCTTCCAAAATTCGTCTTTTTTCATATTTTTTTCCGGAAAAACTTCCCAAATCTTTTAATAATATAAATATTAATGTATTTGAAATGTTTGAAAATGGGTTTCATTTCACTTGAGGTATATTTTCTCGTGAACATATACCTCACTTTTATTACAGGGTCGTATCTACATTGAGGCAAATGCCTCATGTTGGAAATTTCAAAACAAAAGCTTGTCTTCATATCAAATTGTTTTCATGGCAAGTGTCTTGCAAGAAGCAAGTTCTGTTCACCCTCTGACGTAGCCCCTGTTTTTTTTTAGATCCATGTTTCTCATTTATTTTTATTTTTCAGTGTTGATTGTCTATAATGTTTGTCGTTTTGTGTTTTATCTGTTCCCGGGTTCGTCTTTTGTTCATTGATTGCCCTTCTTTATGACTATTCTCTTAGTGTTGCATTCTATTTGTAATTTAGTAATTATGTTTTAAACTTGAGTTTTATTATATTTAAGGACCTTTTGTCTATTACAAACTACTTTAAATTGTATCCCAATTAGGAACTACATCAAGTTGTAATTAAAATGTGTTATAAAAACTGATTTGACATAGTTATACATGTATCAATGATAATCAGCCCCCTCTTAACTTAATTTGAAAAAAAAACATAATTGACAGGTACATGTATAAAAGGTTTTCTGCAAGCTGAAACATTTTTTGCTTTGTCCTACATTTTGGTTTTTTGATGTTGTCCCTAAAAACTAAAAGTCTTACACTGAATCTAAATATTTTGCTTTGAGACCAGAATATTGTCAAAAAATTAAAACAGAACTTGCGATCAGATTAAGAAAGGGTCTGGGAAACGCGCACAATGCATGATTTTGCGCCATTTTTTCTAAAGCTTCTTGGGGCCTGCAGCGAACCCCACACTCTTCGCTGATTTATTTCACCTCGCTCCGCTCGGCCAAAATGAAAATAGATAATCTGTCCTTTTGGTCCACAAAAATAAATAACCCATCCAAAACAAATCCCCCTGGCCCCCCCCCCCCCCAGAATATCAAATGGTCGTCCCCTTACCTTGGGAGGTTGGTATGACTATGAGCAAGACTTCCTTTTGCATAACAATTCATTGTTGTCTGTGCTCATTAGATATCAACAGAGGATGAAGAAACGATTACCAGCCATTCACTGGTATTTAATGCATTAAAATATTGATAGACATTACAGATAAATTTAACATAAGTGCATGTGATCTTAGGAGGGGGTGTCATCCTGAATTTCTGAAAAATTAATCCGAATTCCAGAATCCTAATTAGGGAAAATCCTGACTTCCCGTTTCAATAAGCCGGTCTAATGCTGACGATCCCAAAAAAGTTCTTCCAACCCTCTCTTAAGCTTCTTTAGGAATACACCTTATCGCTATTGATATGCCAATCTGGATAAGTTCTAAAAGTACACATCTTTTTCTAACCAGTTGAAGCTATCTGGCATCTTGATAGATAATATACAGTCCGCCAAAAGTTAAGCACCACCTAAATATAACTGGCAATATTTTTTCAACTATTGCGAAAAAAAATATTTATGTTTGATGTTATGAATTGCCTATAACATACACTAAGAAAATTCATCACGACAAAATAAAATAAACTCCGATAAACACGCCAAGCAATTTTTTATTAAAGGTCATCTGCACTTTTTCGAATACACTGTTTCGATGCCTTTAAATCATCTTCCTACTGTCCCGCGTACAGGTGAAATTTGACCTTCACCAAGTCACTGTGAAATATGGCAAGGGTTAAGTTATATGTGACTGAACCTTGACAAGCAATTGACATGTCAAATGCCGGTAGGAGCACTAGTTGCATAGGTAACCATTTCAATGTTAAACACCCTGTCATTGTCAGATTTTTACAACGTCATGTTGACACAGGAACTGTAAATGATAGACCAAGGTCCGGAAGACCCCGTTTAACAACCGATCATGATGACAGACTCCTTATTGGTTGTGCTAAAGCCAAACCATTTACTCCTGCCCCACAACTTAGACACCACTGGTGTCAAGGTGGTCATGTTAGTGTTCGAACATTGGTCCGTCGACTTCATAGAGGCTACCTAAGAGCACATCGTGTTGTCAAGAGACTTGCCCTAACAACCAGGCACCATATAATCAGGTTTCAAAGGGCTAATGACCATCGAAGCTGGCAAAATGTTCATTGGTCAAATGAGAGTCAGTTTCTGTTACGACCAATAGACGGCAGAATACGAGTTTGTCGTGGAAATAAAACTGCTAATGACCAAAACAACATTTGCCCAACGACTGCATACGTTGCTGGTGGTGTTACAGTATGGGGTTTCTTCTCATACTGTTGTACGGTGGGTATGCATATTCTGCAGGGTAACATGAACGGACAGACATACAGGGATTTGGTGCTTAGAAACATTGTAGTCCCTCATTTTGATAATCATCCACTTGCTTCAAGACCCTTGTGCATGTACGACAATGCTAGACCACACAGGGCAAGGATTGTAACCGAGTACAAAGAGTACAAAGAGCAAAAAGCCATTGACACTATCTTTTGGCCTTCCATGTCTCCAGACATGAACCCTATCGAACATGTCTGGGATGCCATTGGCAGAAATCTCAATCGCAGAGATCCACCGTTGCAAAATCTTAGCGATTTAAGAAGCACAATTGTTGCTGAATGGAATAAATTTGCTCAACTAAAGTTCAGAAGGCTTGTACAGATAGAGTATGAGACACCGTGTTATGGAACTGTACCGGAAGAGAGGGTGTTAAACATCCTATTGACTAAAATATTGACATTAAATTTGCCGAACATACCAAAGATTATTTGTAGAGACTTTTAATGATATTGGGTGATTTATTGTTGTAAAAAAATTAAATCTGACACAGTGAAACTTAAATTCCGTTTCTGATTTGTGTAATTTTCACGTTTCTATGAACGCAAATTTCAAATGCATAGAACCTGCATAAGTGAACAAACTTAAGTCTATGGTTTGTTTATGGTATATGTTAGCAAAATTGCTACATGAATATTTTCTCTTTTTCAAGGATTATCTGATTTTTTTAAATGAAAAAAATTTCGATGCAATAAAAATAGGTGGTGCTTAACTTTTGGCGGACTGTATATATTGTGCATAAAACTTTTCATAAAGACAATGTTTAAACCATCGTAAATACATCAAACAAAACATTTTAAATGACTGTAATTTGTCTTTTAAAAATTGCTTCATAAAGTAAAACTATGAAAATTTTAAAATGTTCACTTTCCAAATATTTTCATCGCTTAGACAGTTCATTGCTGATGACCTTTGGTTTTGCAATATTTGACCCAAACAGGAAGTCGTCTACATGACTGTTTTTTTCCAGAATGGACAAAATAGCGATAAGGTGTACTAGTTTGACAACTGTGGCTGTGTTTACAATACATATGTTACAGACAGATCTGGACTTAAATAAATGTTTCAGAAAATTAAAAAAAATTATCTCAATTTAAAATTGAGTTTAATGATAAGATGTATAAGTTTGAAAAAATACCACAAAATGTTGAAATAAGCATAACATCAACAAGATGTTTTTTTTAATGAAAAATCTATAGATTAGAAATTGGACATTTGACAATTTATATCTTTTTTTATAAATATAGCCAAGGTCACTGATAGTGGCATTAAACACCATCAAACAAACAATCAAAACTGGGTAACCTCTGGTTGTTGTCTTCTAATGTTTATTCTCTCGAATATTGGAATTTATGAAACATGTTAAATAAGGTTCTAGTAGTTGTTTCTTTTGACAACTTAAATTTTGTGTAAGGCCAAAAAAAATATATGTCTGTTTACGGTTGCCGGATCGTCCCTATTTAGGGGTGCCGACCCTATGTCATTTTATTTCAAAATGAAATTGAAAGTGAAAGTACAAAGCCGGAAATACATACTTTCAGTTTAAAACAAAAGTGACAGTAGGTGCATGATCATATTAGCGCTTTAATTTTAAAATCGCGGACTCGATATTGAAGCATTTTTACGATCTAGATCTCAATGGCAGCTGGTCCAAGGACACAGTTGTCGTCCTTTGGTTTTCGTTGTCTACAAATATAGTCCCTAGTGTGAACAGTGTATAACTTGCATTTTTTTTTGATACACTTTCCCAATTTATTTCTTGATATTTTATGCATGAAATATTAAGTAAGGGGATGAAATTACATGTTAAAAAAATTTGGGTGCTGAATCTTTATGTTTAGTAGTGATTTGGTCCAGTTAAAAAAGGTCAAAAATTAGAATGTGTGAAGCTGTCAAACTGAATTTTAGCCCCCTTAACACAGAACTGTCAATATTTTGAGTTAGAGCTGGTAGAAGTTTCTATAATTTTGATATTATTTGTATCAATAGTAGTACACTACACTGTAAAAATCTTTTTGAGATAGAGCAGGTGCGATTTTTTTAATTTGAATTTATTGTCTAAAAGAAATGCACTACGAAATAACTTTGTTCTCGGGCCTAAGAGATGAATTCCGTAAATGTAGATTCTGTACTTGGCAACTTTCCGGAATGGTTTGCTGGTTTCAATTTGTCAAACTCAATAAAAGTAAAGGATTTACATC